TTTCTTTTTTTTTTTTTTTTTTTTTTTTGGTTAACACTGGATACAAGCTTTCCACGGCTAATTCGCTGAAGATAAAGGTCTGGGGGACCTTATGGGTAGAGAATTGACAAAAGTCTTACCCCTTTCCTGTCGGGATTACTTTATTGCTTTGTACAATGTAGCTGTTTTTTTTTTCCTGGAGGCATCTGTCTGCTCGGCCCTTTGTTTTTCCTGCCCGCCTCCCCAATCCGCGCCCCCCCACCCCACCCCGGCAACGGGTGTCAACGGTCTTAAGGCAGGCACCTCGTAGATGGATTCCTCCCGCATTGTCTCTTCTCTTTCCGAACCCCGAACCTGGAGTTTCGCCCCTTTTTGCTGAGGCTCAGTTGATTTGGAGTTGTCATGGCAACATTTTAGCAACTGTGTTGCTCTACAGGAAGGCTTGGTGAATAAAATAGTAGCAGCTTGAAGATGATACACTTGGGCTTTAGGGTCTTTAATGAATGACATAAAGCTGGACTCCCCCAAACAAGAGCCCTGTCAGTAGAAAGGGGCCCGAGGGCCAAGTCTGGTCTTTGTGGTTCCGGAGGTTTTTCCAATGGGTTTCAGGTTTCCCTTTCCTAGATTTGAGGACGGGAATTTCTCGGTGCACAGTATGTGCCTGAGAGGCTGGAAGAAGCGTCAGCATCCGTGGCCCTGTGTTTTTTGATAGCTGTGGTCTAAACATGGCCCTTCCTAATCCCCATGTCATGGCAGATCGTAATAGCTTTAATAATAATCCATCCAGAAATATGTTGTTTCTCAGTCTTGCAGTATAATTATTCCCTCTCCATCAGGAGATGGAGTGATAATTGGAGAGACGCGGAGCACTATCTGTAGAGTTGCTTTTTCAATCACTGTAGCCAGCCCTTAGTATCAGAATGGAGAGAGCTGATTGTCGCCTGCAGATGACTGGTTTATGTTCCTGGATGTGTCTTCAGGGAGCCTAGGTTCTAGAAACAGGGGAGCTTTCAGTTTCCTAGACTCACTAGACTCCCTGATTCCTACCAGGACTTAGCACTCAGGCCTGTGAGGCAGGAGATTCGAAGACTTCCAAAGAAGGACCAATTCCTCGGATGTGCCCCCTCACAGAGAGATGAAGGGGTGAGTGAAGAAGAGGTAGGGTCTGGGATGGGAGATGGGAGGCCTGGGAGAATGCAAAATGGCTAAGAGCACTGGCTCTGGAGTCAGGCAGACCTAGATTTAGGTCCCAGCTACATCACCCTGCTATGTGATCTGGTTTCCAGTTTATAAAATGCAAGTAGTGCTACCTACTCATAGTGCTGTTCTTAGTATTAAGTAAGATATTGCCTGTTAAGTGCTTAGCTCAGTGCTAAGTAAATACTAGCTCTTGTTATTCTAACCTAACATAGCACCTGTTGGGAATGCCAATGAGTTTGGGAGCCATATGTTACTGGGCCAGTGAGCTTTAAATTCACTTCATCCCTTATTCTTCCTCTTGTCCCTTCACAAACAGGCAGCAGAAAACAGCTGAAACGGAAGAGGGGACAGTGCAGATTCAGGAAGGTGAGTGGGAGAAACGGAACTGAGCTGAGACCAAGAGCCCATCGTGGCCTCTCCCCCTACCCCATGGGCCTATCACCTGTGCAAGCCTTCTTTTAAATGACATGCAAGTGCAACAGAGGGAGAAAAGCAGTAACTCACAGACTTGTCCTTTTCCTAATTCAGGCGCAGTGGCAACTGGGGAGGACCCAACCAGTGTGGCTATCGCCAGCATCCAGTCAGCTGCCACTTTCCCTGACCCCAACGTCAAGTACGTCTTCCGAACTGAAAATGGGGGCCAGGTAAGGGAGGGGGCCAGGTGGCTGCAGGTGTTACCTGGGGTTGGGAGTGAGGGAGGTAATTGAACCTGTCATGGGTAGAACCTGGTTTGGAGGATGAGGTGAAGATGTGGACTATCTGGGGGGAAGGGGATGGGGGTCTCTGAAGGATTCTTGTTTGGGGGCCCTATCCAAGAGAAGCTTTATGAGGGACCCTGGAGTCCCTAGCACTTACTCTTTTGTTCCCTCTTCCCCTCCTTCCCCTTTCCTCCCTGCCTCTAGGTGATGTACAGGGTGATCCAGGTGTCTGAGGGGCAGCTGGATGGCCAGACTGAGGGGACTGGCGCCATCAGTGGCTACCCTGCCACTCAATCCATGACCCAGGTACAGGGGTATATGGGCTGCAGAGGGGACTAGAGCTCTGAGTAGTAACATGAAGAAGGGAACCAATAGGATGGGTGTGGCTAGGGATAGGGAAGCAGCTAGGGCTGCCTTGACCCAAAGCACTAGACTCTCCCTTTCCGGATGTTTCTCCCTCCCTCCTCCCAAGGGATAGAAGCTGCAGAGTAGCTCATGGGAAGTATTTAACTGTCACTTGTCTCTGTTCTCTTGCTCCCCTTCCCAGGCTGTGATCCAGGGTGCGTTCACGAGTGATGATGCAGTTGACACAGAGGGGACAGCTGCTGAGACGCACTATACTTACTTCCCCAGCACTGCAGTGGGAGATGGGGCAGGGGGTACCACATCGGGGAGTACAGCAGCTGTTGTTACCACCCAGGGCTCAGAGGCACTACTGGGGCAGGCGACCCCTCCTGGCACTGGTGAGATATTATGTGAGGATGCTGGCTGGAGGGGCTAGGATAGGCTGTGGGACATGGCTGGTGGGCAGTGGGCCTTTACTCATGATCCCTTAAATGATCACAAAGACCTGGGCAGGCAGTGAGTCTGGGGCTGCCCTTCCAGCAGGAGGCAGTATGTCCTTTTTAGAGGAGGGTCCCAGGGCCTTGGCCTTAGAGCTTGGTGAGGTTCCTAGGCCTATGTACTGACAGAACCTACCGTGCATCTTCATAGGTCAGTTCTTTGTGATGATGTCACCACAAGAAGTGTTGCAAGGAGGAAGCCAGCGCTCTATTGCCCCCAGGACCCACCCTTATTCCCCGTGAGTAACCCGGTTTCTTTTCAGTTACCAGAAACGGTCTTGATTCCTTCCAGATTTGGTGTAATTCCTCACCCCAAACTCCAGTCTCATTTTTTGACCCTCCCTCACTCTGGCCACTCTGGGCTCTGTTGCTAGGAAGTCAGAAGCTCCCCGGACAACTCGGGATGAGAAACGCAGGGCTCAGCATAATGAAGGTAGGTATGATCTGCGTCTGAAGCTTGGAGCTGTCTGGTGGGATTGGGGATAGCCGTGATGTTGAGGGGAGAGGTTAGGTAATTTTACCCTGGGGCCTTTGGTGAGTTCTCCCTGAGTCACCTTGTCCTCTACTTTGCCCTACAGTGGAGCGCCGCCGCCGAGACAAGATTAACAACTGGATTGTACAGCTGTCCAAGATCATCCCAGACTGCTCCATGGAGAGCACCAAGTCTGGCCAGGTCATGGAAAGACCCTGGTAGTGGGCAAGATGCCTGAATTCTGTCTCCTGGTATTGTTTCCAGAAATGGTAGAGAGTGGGCACACATGGCAGTAGTCTTTTCCTATCTCTCTCTGAGGTTCCTGAATCCCTGGGAGATGTTATTTCACCATCCTTAAGGGAAAATGAGGTCCAAAGTGTAAACACGCTTTTGGAAAGCAAGCCAGGTATCTTACATCCTAGTCCTCATTTTGTTGGCTTTTTCTTACAGAGTAAAGGTGGAATTCTATCCAAAGCCTGTGATTATATCCAGGAACTTCGGCAGAGTAACCACAGGTTGTCTGAAGAACTGCAGGGGCTTGACCAGCTACAGCTGGACAATGATGTGCTTCGACAGCAGGTCAGACCCCCATACCCTGAGTATAGCTGTCCTCAGCCTCCCTAACCACTAACCCAGCTTGGGCCTCCCCCTCCTCACTGGCGGGTGTCCCAGTAAGTTCAGGGACTTGGCTGTGCCAACTTTTCTACCTATTTCCCTTACTGCCTGCTTCCCGTGGTAGGTGGAAGATCTTAAAAACAAGAATCTGCTACTACGAGCTCAGTTGAGGCACCATGGAGTAGAGGTCGTCATCAAGAGTGATAGCAACTAATTCTGGGGATTCAGAGGCTTTGGGCCCTACAGCCCCTTTCAGAGAACTGCAGATAGCCCAGGAGCAACAGGCTAACCCCGTGCCCTTTCCTTCACTGCCCACTTCTGGCATGGGACTGGGGGGAGTTCAGAAGGCGTGTCTGAGTTCAGAAGGCGTGAACTGAGGCCCTGTGATATAGCAGCCTGCAGTGGTGTGAAACACACACGTGGATGTGTACTGACCTCCTCGCCCAACCCCACCGTGCAGCCCCTGGGCCCTTGTGCTCCTCTTGCACAGTGCATGTGCTGTCTCCATGCTGGACACTGGACACACTGAACTGGGGGGCTTGCCCTGTGCTTGCTTAGAGTGCCAGCAGAGGGTCTGCTGACAAGCAAAGCTCTGGCTTGCCCCAGGACACTGGCGCTTCCACTGGTTCTTCCTTTCCCTGGAGCTCAGATGTGCACCTGAGGACTCTGGGGAACAGGCTTCAGCAAGAAGTGGGGATAGGATACTTAGCAGTGGCTGCTGCCCCAGGAAGAGGAGATTGGCCGGCAAGCAGCTAAGGCCTATGCAGAAGTCTCTGGAGCCACAGGGAGAACAACAGGCAGGGCCCACTGGGGGCCTTACCCCCCTCGTGGGGACGGTTTCCCCCCCCCCTTTTCTTTCTTTCCTTTTTTTTTTTGGCGGAGCCACAGGGAGAACAACAGGCAGGGCCCACTGGGGGCCTTCCCCCCCTCGTGGGGACGGTTTCCCCCCCCCCTTTTCTTTCTTTCCTTTTTTTTTTTTTAAGATAAAATATTCAGAGCCACAACTGTCTCCGTTTTTTCTCCTTTTGCGGGCCCCAGGGCGGGAGGGAGGGGGCACACTGTGCTCTGACCAGTAAGGGCTGGGCCAAGGTTAGGGTGGGGTGCTGCTCCTGGACTCTGAGTCCTACTACCTGGGCCAGACCGGTGTGTCGTTGCTCGCCCACGCCCGGCAATCGCGAGGATTTCTCTAGCGGGCGTGCGTTAGGGCCACCGGGAACCGGTGCTGCAGGGGGCTGTGCGAGAGGCGGTGCCTTCGCTTCCGGTTCCGGTCTCGGCTTGGCTCCGGCTCCCGCTCCGGCTCCGGCTCCGGCTCCGGCTCTGGGAGGGCGGGGGAGATGCTGCGGGCGCCCAGGGGGCTGGCCGGGGCCGCATTCCTGAAACTCGCATTTGCGGCGCGCACCATGGCTGGAGGTACCTGCAGGGGAGACCTGGGATCTCGTATAGGCTGCGCGTGGAGACCCCCGGTGGAGGTGGACGCGGAGGGAGGCGCAAAGGGGCGTGGCGGAGGGGGTCCTCGCGCATCCCCCGCCGGGTAGGGGCGCGGCCAGGTGAGGGGGTGCCGCGGCAGCCAGGCCTTGCAGTCCTGCTTCCCTCAAGGCTCTCGTGGCCCCTTCCTCAGAGCCCACGGTCTTGCTCCCTGAACTCCGTTCGCTCCTGGCCTCGGGCCGGGCCCGGCTCATCGACGTGAGATCTCGGGAGGAGGCGGCAGCTGGCACCATCCCTGGGGCGCTCAACATCCCGGGTATGGGATTGAGAGGGGAAGCCCTGGTGGTGGAGTAGAGAGGCCGTCCAGGAGAGTCGCAGCCAATGGGACCTCACTTAGGATGGTGTGGGGAAGGCACTGGTTACGGGGCTCCAGTATTCCCGTAGCTCCCCAAACTTCCCTTAGGAAGGGTTGATTGGAGGCGGATCCTGGCCGCGGAACTGGCCCTTCAAGTTTGAGGGGATAACAGGTGACAAGGAAGTGGCAGGCCAGCTTCTGTACACGCTGGATCTCCCCAAGGCTGAATGCCTGAGTTTGCCCGCTCCTCACAAACTAGGGAAGTGGCTTCCCTTCAACGGTTGTGTGGCTGACTTCCTGTGCAGGTAGGCTGTATCTTGTCCTTGAGGTTGGGGTTGGTGGTCACCGTGTGTTGTTTTGGGGCCCCCTGGAGATTTGTTCGACCGCAGGACCAGTCCTTCCAGGCCCAGCCTCAGAGCCTGAGATTGCCAAACTGCCGGCTTTCCATTCTGTCCTCTCGACTCCTCCTGCCAGTGTCAGAGTTGGAAACTGCCCTGCAGATGGAGCCAGCTGCTTTCAAGGCTTTGTACTCCACCGAGAAACCAAAGCTGGAAGATGAGAACCTCATTTTCTTCTGTCAGAGGGGCAGGCGGGGCTTTCAGGCCACACAGTTGGCCCGGGGCCTTGGATACCAAGGGTATGGGGATGGTGTGAATTGCTAGCTGGGGCGTGACTGGGGACTGCCTCCTGGGCTTGTCCTTCCCTCACCCCTCTTTCTCTCCACAGGGCTCGGAACTATGAAGGGGCCTATAGTGAATGGTTCCAGAAAGAAGGTTAGGTAGAAGGTGGCTTATTGAATGCTCCCTCCACCCACCCATGGCCTCCTTCACCAAGAGTGATGAAGGGGCTGACTTGCTGGGTTGGGCAACCTCTTATAGTGCTGTGCACCAAAAGCAACAAATAAAGAGCAGTTAATTAAAGTATTGGAAGCACTTAATTTGTCAGGTGGACTGAAAACAGTTCTAATCTTAATCTAGACTTCATTTCAGCCCTAGGTTCTTCTTCCAGCATTCATCTGCTCCTGCACCCTCACACACCAAAACCAAAACAAAAATGAAAACACCCAGCAGTTTGCTGAGAGACTATAATTCAGAATCACCTGGTAGTTTGTTTGTTTATTTATTGGCCGCGTTGGGTCTTGGCTGCTGCGCGCCGGCTTTTCTCTAGTTGCCACGAGTGGGGGCTACTCTTCGTTGTGGTGCGTGGGCTTCTTACTGCAGTGGCTTCTCTTGTTGCGGAGCACGGGATTTAGGCGTGTGAGCCCAGTAGTTGTGGCACGTGGGCTTAGTTGCTCCGCGACATGTGGGATCTTCCCGGACCAGGGCTCGAACCGGTGTCCCCTGCATTGGCAGGTGGATTCTTAACCACTGCACCACCAGGGAAGTCCCCACCCGGTAGTTTTAAAAAAAAAAAAAAAAGTCTTGGGCCCCATCTCAGATTTGGAGTCTCGGCAGTGGGACCTGGGCATTAGTGGTTTTACAAGACCCTCAAATGATTCTGATGTGCAGTCAGGAGCCAGAACCACTGCTCTAGACCAGAGACCAGCAAACTATGGCCCCACTTGGTCTTGCTGCCATGACCATTTGTTTACATATTGTCTATGGCTGCTTCTGTGCTAAAATGGCAGAATAGTTGTAACAGAGACTGTATGTTCTTCGAAGCCTAACATTTTTACTATCTAGTCCTTTATAGAAAAAGTTTGCCTACGCTTGCTCTAGATCTTCAGGTCCCCAGCCCCAACTTCATTTCCCTCAGACTTTGTCACTGGATTGAGAAAATGAAAGTGCTCTCCCAGACAGTCGCGTGAAGGAATGAATGCCACTCTTAAATCCTACACTTGTGTCAAACACAGATTACAGGTATGAGGAGTTCCTCCTGTGCCAGCAGAAAGAGGTCCCAGTTTTTAGCGACACTGTTCTCTGATCCCACAGTGGATTTAACAACATTTAACTGGTAAAACAAGAAAAAAGAAAAGAAAAAGCACATGTTTACTGAGATAAAATGCAACACTATACAGTAGGTATATAACTTCCCTCTAGCATAGTTCATGGTTTAAAGCAGCGGTCGCCAACCTTTTTGGCGCTAGGGACTGGTGTCGTGGAAGACAGTTTTTCCACGGACCAGGGGCGGGGGTAAGATGATTTCGGGATGATTCACGCACATTACATTTATTGTGCACTTTGTTTCCATTATTATTACATTGTAATATATAATGAAATAATTCTACAGCTCACCATAATGCTGACAGGAGGCAGCGCTCAGGCGGTGATGCGAGTGATGGGGAGCGGCTGTAAATACAGATGATCTTCACTCACTTGCTCGCCTGCCGCTCACCTCCTGCTGTGTGGCTTGGTTCCTAACAGGCCACGGACCGGTATTGGTCTGTGGCCTGGGGGTTGGGGACCCCTGGTTTAATGCATATGGTTCCAGACGTTCTAAATTTTTTTTTTTTTTGCGGTACGCGGGCCTCTCACTGTTGTGGCCTCTCCCGTTGCGGA